ATAAAAAAATAAATTTTGCCCAAAGTATTTGGGCAATTTCGGCTACTAATAGAAGCAGTTTCGGCCAGAAACCTTAGATTCAATACATCACCTCTTTCTCTTCTTCTGATTAATTTATTTCGTAACATGCATCTTTCTACTTTTACTAGTTTATAGAAGGATTCATTACATTTCCCACCTAAAAATCTCATTTTGTCATTGTGTTTTTTATAGTCATCAGTACCCATGTAGTTGCTAAATCGTCTACCCTCTTCTTCCCAACATTGTTCTTTAAACTGTATCTCCATATATCTTACTGATACTGCTCTCCAATATTGATTTTTAATCTTTACGTGCCTCATATGCAATTCATGTTTCACTTCCTTATACCAAGTATGGTTAATCCATAAAGCTTACTAATACTATCCAATGGGAGTTTTTGAACGATTATTGCAATTGCATCTGGAAGCAAAAGTGGATTACACTTTATAACTAGGTAGGTGAGTGGAACAAAGAGGTATAAAATCGTAAAATAATTATTTAATTTGAAAATTCTTAGCTGTATCTTGTTGTTAACCTATGTAATATATTATCTTGAATCAATATTGTAAATTCCAATGATTGTCTTGATACTTCATTAAAATCTTCTAATGAAGAATTTGCAATAATGCATTTTTTTCTCCATGCCTCTTCTAACTCAATTCCCTCTTCATCTTCTTCATCTAATACTATATCATCACCATATGGATCATCATTAAGGAGGGTTAAACCATAATAATTCTCGTTACTATTCTCATATTCTACCTTATTTTCAAATGCTTCTTCTGCATCCCTTTTAGCATTAAGATAATGTTTAAACAATTCATTACATTTTTTATCTAAAATAATTTTGATCCTGATGTATTCATCAAGTCTATTAATTCTTAGATAACGGATAAAGCTATCTAATTTCAATATATTTTTTAATCTTAACCAATCCATGAATACTTCCCTATCTTTATATAAGATTCTCTTTCCTTCCATATACCAGGTTTTATTAATCTTCATTACATTTAATATCTCAAAGGGGTTTTCTATTTTCAAGATAATTCACTCGATAATTTCTGTTTGAAATTCCGTTTTCACCTCTTTGTACACTACGATCTTTCTTACCTCTACTAAGACTCCATCCTCAAGTGGGTCTTTGCTATCATTGAGGTATTTTACCACATTGATAATATTTCTAAAAGTATTAGTAATATAAGATATCATTTTCGTTTTCTTTTTATATAGGTGGCAGGAATGTTTAATTTGAAAATTTTATCAATTTATTGTTTTTCTAGTTTTGTTATAGATGTGCTATGCACATCTTGCTCATTTCACTCGCTCTCCTGATAACTACTTTAATTGACAATCCATGAATAAACCAGTGAAAATTAGTAGGATTGGTGGGGCAAAAATGGTAAAAAATAATCAATTGACAATATTTAACAAATAATAAAGCATGATATTTTTGTATTACAAATCTTGCTCTTTTTATGTATGTGTAAGGTAAATCTCATA